GCGGAATCGCTCCCACCAATCCAGACCAAGCGCCAGACGGCCAGGCTTCTGAACTATGTCATTCTATCACCCCTGACCCTACGACCGGGACCACTTCGGCACCTTCGGCAGCTGACACTACAACTACCGACATCGGAACTACGCCCCACGCCGATACATACTCAGGCTCTGCACCTCCTGATGTTCCTTTTCCGACTGAGCCAAGTCCTACATACCACTACCTCCATCGTGCTCACTTCTCATCCCGCGTGGTCCACCAGATCCACTTCAAGATCATTACCCACTCCAACAATACCAGGGAGTTATTCATCGAAGAGATCCCCATGTCAGGGCCCTCCAAATGTCGTGACCCCGAGCACTACTTTTATGGTCTTTCGGGCAACTGGGAGTGGTCCCTGCGCACAGCGGATTATTGGCGCCATCACTTTGAGATTCCTCTAGTACATGGGCATCATCCTTTTCACAACGTCCCCATTGAGACCACTGCACCTACAGAGGCAACCTGCTTCACTCCGAAGATCCAAGAACTGGCCAAACAACTTTCAACCACTTTGACGGCTGCTATGGCATCTGGGGAAATCAACGACACGTGGAGGATGGTTGAAGGCATGAGCTTCCGTGACGCGATCCAAACACTTCAAGTTGAGGCGAATTTCCCTTCTGAGTGACTGAACGCGGCTATGTACATTAGCACCGGAAAGCCTTTTTGTATTTGATTGATCTTGCCGACCTTTGCAGCGATGTTCTTCCAAAAGAACCAAACCCCGCTACACGCGGGGTGTGTGTGTAACATCTGAACAGATGTAAAACTTCTATTGCTCTAATCTTTTCACATTTGCAGGGGGGTGCAGAGCACAGTGGAGACTGCACCCAACGAAGCTATCCACTTGTGCTGGAAGCAGAGTCTGATCAACTCTGTGTACCTGCAAAATTTGGTTTCAACTGTTGATCAAGCTGTTACATTGCGTTGTTTTGAATCTACACGGTTGCCACAATCTGTATTGCCTGCATCAGAACCTTCCTCAGTTTTTCGCCGAAACCATGTCGCCGACAGTATTTTGATTTTTTGAATTATTTCGCCGAGATCATGTCGCCGATGTACCTTTGATTATTTTGGAAATCCATCGCCGAAACATTATTATTATTTTTTGGTTTTTCAACATTCTGGTCAAAACTTTGGACTCTGGTTATAACTCCGTTTGACAACATTGGATGCCCTACATCGTTTTCGAGAAGTACCTCATGAGGCTCCTTTATAAATCTAACGATCTAGGCTGGTTTGCATGTTTCAGGATTCAGTTCCTGCCGGATCATATAATGATCCATTCTTGTCTAGTGTGTGTGTGTGCGCATTACTTCACCATCGACAAGCAACACCTGGCAGCACAGAAAAAGGATCAAGATGACGAAAGCACAAAATAAAATAGTTCTTTGGTAGAGATCCACAGCGCAGCCTGCAGTTGTTGGCATCGACTCATTGTCGGGCCGTGAGACACGCGCCTGTCCTCCGTCCAAGAAGCTCACTGGAAGGGCACCTGCGGCAGTTGCAAAGACACAGAGGCTTCATGCGTGCTATCTTGTTACTACATGACAGCTGCAATGGCTCGGCACAGCATGAACCCAAAGAACCAATCTATTCTACATAGCTTAACCACAGTAGATATCTTATTGATCAACCGTATACATGGTCCACACTACGCCGCAAGTGCAGCTCCCGGCCTGCGCATTACTTCACCATCGACAAGCAACACCTGGCAGCACAGAAAAAGGATCAAGATGACGAAAGCACAAAATAAAATTGTTCTTTGGTAGAGATCCACAGCGCAGCCTGCAGTTGTTGGCATCGACAGCAACAGAGCGCAAAAGTACCTAGCCGCAAAAGGACAGGACGCGTATATGGAGCTAACTATCAAAGCAGCATGCGCAGAAACGATACAATTCAGTCTCTTGCACGAATTGTCTCCTTTTTGTGTGATCAAAATCCTGACAAGACCTGTAGCACTTCGTCCCGCAGTGGGGCCGACTCTAAACGTGTCACGAACAGTCTTGATGTGGCCGTCGCGACCCCAGTCTTCCCACATTAGGTGGATGTCAGGTTGTGCCACGCCTGCCACGTGAAACGACGGTGGATGTCAGGTTGTGCCACGCCTGCCACGCAAAGTGGCGCGGCGTCACAGGCGCCCAATCCCGGCCCAAGGGCGCCACCCAGTGCCATCTGTGCCATGCCTGCCACGCAAAACGACGGTAGATATGAGTTTGTGCCACGCCTGCCACGTGAAACGACGGTGGATGTCAGGTTGTGCCACGCCTGCCACGCAAAGTGGCGCGGCGTCACAGGCGCCCAATCCCGGCCCAAGGGCGCCACCCAGTGCCATCTGTGCCATGCCTGCCACGCAAAACGACGGTAGATGTGACTTTGTGCCACGCCTGCCACGTGAAACGACGGTGGATGTCAGGTTGTGCCACGCCTGCCACGCAAAGTGGCGCGGCGTCACAGGCGCCCAAGCCCGGCCCAAGGGCGCAACCCAGTGCCATCTGTGCCATGCCTGCCACGCAAAACGACGGTGGATGTGACTTTGTGCCACGCCTGCCACATGAAACGACGGTGTTCAGCCCTGCCTCTCGACCACGAGCAAGACCAGCACCTGGCCGGAAGTGTGTGTGTGTGTGTGGAATGCAACAGGCCGACAGAAGAAAGTAATTAAACATGCGAAAATCAAACATGCCAAAATCAAACATGCCGAAGCACGCGGAATGTCAGGTTGTGCCACGCCTGCCACGCAAAGTGGCGCGGCGTCACAGGCGCCCAAGCCCGGCCCAAGGGCGCCACCCAGTGCCATCTGTGCCATGCCTGCCACGCAAAACGGCGTTTGATGTGAGTTTGTGCCACGCCTGCCACGTGAAACGACGGTGGATGTCAGGTTGTGCCACGCCTGCCACGCAAAGTGGCGCGGCGTCACAGGCGCCCAATCCCGGCCCAAGGGTGCCACCCAGTGCCATCTGTGCCATGCCTGCCACGCAAAACGACGGTAGATGTGACTTTGTGCCACGCCTGCCACGTGAAACGACGGTGGATGTCAGGTTGTGCCACGCCTGCCACGCAAAGTGGCGCGGCGTCACAGGCGCCCAATCCCGGCCCAAGGGCGCCACCCAGTGCCATCTGTCCCACGCCTGCCACGCAAAACGACGGTAGATGTGACTTTGTGCCACGCCTGCCACGTGAAACGACGGTGGATGTCAGGTTGTGCCACGCCTGCCACGCAAAGTGGCGCGGCGTCACAGGCGCCCAATCCCGGCCCAAGGGCACCACCCAGTGCCATCTGTCCCACGCCTGCCACGCAAAACGACGGTAGATGTGAGTTTGTGCCACGCCTGCCACGTGAAACGACGGTGGATGTCAGGTTGTGCCACGCCTGCCACGCCAAACGTTTGTGTGTGTGAAATTATTGTATGTTAAGTTGGTGTGTGTGAAATTATTGTATGTTAAGTTTGTGTGTGTGAAGTTATTGTCTGTTAAGTTTGTGTGTGTTAAGTTTGTGTGTGTTAAGTTTGTGTGTGTATGTTAAGTTTGTGTTTGTGAAATTATTGTATGTTAAGTTTGTGTGTGTGAAGTTATTGTCTGTTAGTTTGTGTGTGTGTTAAGTTTGTGTGTGTTAAGTTTGTGTGTGTGAAAGTTTGTGTGTGTTAAGTTTGTGTGTGTGAAATTATTGTTAAGTTTGTGTGTGTGAAGTTATTGTCTGTTAAGTTTGTGTGTGTTAAGTTTGTGTGTGTTAAGTTTGTGTGTGTGAAGTTATTGTCTGTTAAGTTTGTGTGTGTTAAGTTTGTGTATGTTAAGTTTGTGTGTGTGAAATTATTGTATGTTAAGTTTGTGTGTGTGAAGTTATTGTCTGTTAAGTTTGTGTGTGTTAAGTTTGTGTGTGTTAAGTTTGTGTGTGTGAAGTTATTGTCTGTTAAGTTTGTGTGTGTTAAGTTTGTGTGTGTTAAGTTTGTGTGTGTGAAATTATTGTATTTAAGTTTGTGTGTGTTGTGTTACGGAGGCGGCGGGAGGAGGAGGAGAAGCCCGGGATACAGAATCAAAAACAAGAACCCCACACAAAGATGTGGGGAAAAAGGCATTACACAAGCAGGCGTCGCGCAATGCACCTTGACTAGACTGCTTTCGCGTCTCTTTGCAGACTGGCGGTCCATCTTGTTTTTCTTCATAGCCTGACACAAACAGAAGCTACGGTCTGGAATGAAAAATCCAAAAAGCCGAATAATCTCACCTCGCGCAAGCTCTTCTTCTGGTCCTTCAAGTTCTTCAGCTCCTCTGCAAGGACTGCCTAGGCGACCCGATGGCTCAGTTGGTATGGCGTTCTTGCCAGCGCTGACAGACTGCCGGTGGTGGTTCGAATCCCTGCTGGTCCACTCGGGAGTCTCAAGTGCGACCCGCCGAAAGGCAACGGGCGCCGACCACAAAAAAATCGTCTGCAAGGACTGCCTGAGCTCCCAGAGAAGGCACACAAACGGCTGAATTAGAATCTTTCAACCCAACACTAATGAGACAGCGCTGTCACATTAGCCTTGTCGCAACAGCGCCCACGGTTATGTTGATTGCCACAGCACCGGAGGAATTTGGCCTCCCGGAATGCGCGGACACAGTGGAGGCAGCTGGCCTGAAAGGCCCCCATAGATGGGGTGTTATCTTGCCGAACAAAGCTATAGTACGGTATATGGAGCTTGCCACAAAGCCGGCAGCGCACCAAGATCTCAGGTGTGAAGAAGATGTTGAGGGGGGGCCCATCAATCGAAATCGTGCGCCCAGTGGGACCTGTTAAAGTATCGGTGCCCACTCAACCACAGGAACGACCACAAGGAGATGTCAGCACTAGCGGTGCCCTTCCTCTTGGCGTTTGGTGGTGCTGATCAGTGGTTCTGGATTCCCCTCTATTGTCTCCGTTTGGATATCTTGTTGCTTCGGCGGTCAGGGCGTCTAGCCGGTCTGTACTACCTCAGGTCTGTTACTGGCTGGTCTGGAAGATGAAGTTTGCCTTTTTCTCGTCGTCGACGTACTGTATGGCAACAAAGGCTTCGGCCCGCTTGTGGTTCTTGGCTTCCCCCCTCTGGTCGGCTTCACGTCGCGCCACGACACCACTCTGCGCCACAGTGCAGTGTGCGTCCCCCTCCTGGGCACCCTGTCTGTCCCCCTCTGCCTGTTCTGGGCGCCCCCCCCTGCCGTTCTGCTCTGTTTGTCTCTTCTTCTTTTCTATGTGGCTCTCTTTCACCAACATGAAGGAAAGGTGAGGCGCGCAGGCATCAGCAGAGCGACCATCATTCCGACAGGAATTCAATAACCCTCAACTCCAGGTCCGTGAGTACTTCCCGCACGGCTTTAAGGGCAATTTCTTGCTGGGGTAATTGCTTAGCGGTGTATGTTCCCACAGTGTGTCGGAGATATTCATCGGCAAAAAACAGCCTGCCCATCTCAGAAACCCTTTGGCTGGCACTTTCCATGTTGATGGTGATTTTAGCGAGGGGCCATGGGTCTGGAAGGGTCGATAGGCAGTGCAGCAATTCTGAAGTAAGCTCTAGCGGTATTGTGGGAAGTTCTCGCGGAAGGGGCTGGTACCCTGCAGGATCTTTTGAGTTTACTTCTTTGGCAAAGGGGCCTTTGCTGCGTGCTGCACCATCGGGTGCCAAGCACTTCCAACTACATTTGGGCGAGTTCTTGCGAAAGAACTCCATCTGAATTGATTCTGAAGCTGGGTGTTGGGAACCTCCGTTCCTCTGGTTCGGGGTTCGTCTGTGCACGTCAAAAGTGGGTCGTTTGTGCACGTCAGACGGTTGGTCATCTGTGCACGTTTTTGTTGTGTGTTTTTGTCATTGTATCTCTGTAACATGATTCTTCTTCTAGCTTTTTTTTAAACATCATCACACGACTCATCAAGTTATGTTTTTTTCCTCACATCTCTGTGTGGGGCTTTTGTTTTTAGGTTTGTATTCCTTGCCTTCTCCTCCTTCTCCTCCTGAGTTGCTTCTTTCACAAGTCACAGAACTCGTCTCACACCACTCCACTCATCTCACAACTCACACAACTCGTCTCATCTCACAAGTCACACAACTCATCTCACACAAGTCATCTCTCACAACTCATCTTACACAACTCAACTTACTCAAGAGCTGCTTTCGTGTGCCATTTGGTGGAGCTGCTTTCGTGTTCTCTCACTGAAGTTCACCCAAGTTCTTTCACACAACTTATCTCACAACTCACACAACTCATCTCACACAACTCCTCTCATCTCACAAGTCACAGAACTCGTCTCACACCACTCCACTCATCTCACAACTCACACAACTCGTCTCATCTCACAAGTCACACAACTCATCTCACACAAGTCATCTCACACAACTCATCTTACACAACTCAACTTACTCAAGAGCTGCTTTCGTGTGCCATTTGGTGGAGCTGCTCTCGTGTTCTCTCACTGAAGTTCACCCAAGTTCTTTCACACAACTTATCTCACAACTCACACAACTCATCTCACACAACTCCACTCATCTCACAACTCACAGAACTCATCTCACACCACTCCGCTCATCTTACAACTCACACAACTCCTCTCATCTCACAAGTCACACAACTCATCTTACACAACTCATCTCACGTGAACGTTATCATCCCAGCCCACCCCACCCCACCCCACCCACCCCCCCCCACCCCCCCGTGTGGATTTTAGGTCCAACACTGGTCAACAGAAAGAGTTGATCTAAAGGAACCTAGTGCTAAATGGATCGCAAATGTCTGAGCACTGCGAAAGAGCACTGGCTGCTTTTCCGGATAGCACGCCGAGTAAAGGGTCTAAGCTCCAAGCTGACTTTGGGCCATGACACTGTTGTCAGGCAAATTGCTGTTGCTGATGCCACCAGGGATGCATGGAACTTCAAATTTGCATCCGTTCTCTTTTCTTTATGGCATCAGCATCTTGAGTTCCCAGGGAATCAAAACTATCTCTCTGTTTCTGTTCTTGTCGCATAGCGGCCCGCTTTTTCTTAGCCGAGGTAAACAGAGGATCAAAAACAATACTTATCAAACCTTGTTTCAGCAAATCCAAAAGATGATCAAATTTTTGGGGTTTACTAAGTCCATCAGCCAACTGTTGATCAGAGTCCGTCCAACGAACCTGGATTCCAGTTTCAAGTGTTCTTTCACGGATTGACAAAACATCAATGGCAGTTCTGCGTTCTTCAAGTTGAAGTCCACTTGACTGGATCCTACACATGGCATCATACAGATTTTTGCAATCAAGGATCAGGACCGAAGGAATTTGGCGCATAGCTGCATCCACTTGATGAGGTTCAAATTTTTCCTTGTTAAACCATTCAAGAATAACCTGCTTCAAAAATTCATGGTTATCAGTGGTATTAGAAGCCATCTGTACCTCAGCGGATGTGGATGAACGGGCTACTCTACCAAGCTTTCTACTCTGCCAACTGACCAAAGAGAACTCGCTACGGTGACCATCCAAAAACTTTCGATCTGCTAGAACGGTAAGTTGACCGCCCTGAGAAGAACCATCAGCCCTACAAGACCAACTAGCATCCGAATAACTGACCAAAACAGGTTCTTGAATTTGACTGCTAAATCTCAGGGGCATTTCACAAAATTGCCTCTGCATCCGGATGAGTTTGTTAGCTTCCAACAGATCTTCAATGGACGGGTCATTTTGTTTTCCCTGCAACACGGAAACACTTGCTGCCAGCCATGGACATGTCTGTGTGGCTCTCCAAGATAAGGCACCTAGAGTGGCTCTGAGTTGTTTCTTCTCCTCAATATTGGCCTTAGCTTGAGGATCTTTCTTTCTCTGCGGAGACACACAAATCTCGTTGATGCCGAGGGCATATCGTTCCTGTCCTAGGCAAATTGAAAAATGCGAGTCCTGAGTGATTTCGCAACCACAGAAAGTAATCTGCTCTTCTTGAGCGGACTGCCAGGATCCGAAAGGAAACGCCGAACGCAGTTCTTTAATACGTGATTCAAACAAATCCCCTTTACCACTCACCAACAAATCATCAACATGACAACCAATAAGACCCTGAAGTTCCCCTGATTCATTAAACAGTCTCCAAATACAAGGTTCTAAACGTGAGGTAACCCAACCATGGCTTTGCAAAACGGAATTGAGTTTTTCCATCCAAGCCCTTGGTGCGTGTAACAACCCGTAAATCACCTTTTGAATTCTGAGAACTTCATGTGGTTTCATTCCCAACTCCTCCCTCACTTCATTCGGGGGTTCCCCAAAAAGTTGTTTTTCCGGGGGCAGCTTATCACCGTTGAGAAAAGCAGTCTTAATATCCCCAGCCCAGAGAGGCCAATGGTGAATGGCTGTCAGAGCCAGCATCAAGTTTCGACTTTGAACAGACAAGGTTGGTGAATCACGACTCAGCTGCAATAAGCTAGGGTCTTCGAAACCACGAATAATAAGACGTGCTTTAGGTTTACGTCCTGTGACTTCTCCCTGTTCATCGGTGATAGGCTTGTAGGTTAAAACCCAACGCATGTTCAACAACTTTTGGGGGTCGATACCGTGTCTTGACGCAATGGCAATGGCTTCCCTTTCCAGAAAACTGTCAATCTCACTCCGCATGGCAACACGGAATTCAGCTTTTTCTTCCTCATTGAGGGTCTTGAGTTTTACTTCAGCATTCTTTTTGGGTTTCTGATTCAGAACCCACTCTTGAACTCCATTTCGCCTTTGATTATGGACATCCCTTGGGGCCACAATCATAGTGATTTCAATCATTTCCGAATTTTCAACCATGTAATTCACAGGAATGGGCGTCTCCTCCTGATCAACAGTGGGCTCACCAAAACAATCATCAGGCATCCAAGAAAAACAACCACGATTAATCCCATCCCGTGCATGGTTGGTCCTGTTCTTCGCAGGAACGCGTGCACAACCAACTGGAAAGCATTCCTTTTCGGAATCAAACAAAACCGGCTCAGGCTCAGAAGAGAGAATTTCGCCAATGGTCATGAAGGCATCTTCGCCAGTGGGTAGACTCTCATTCCACCGCACGGAGTCAGACTCATGATCCCGGTGTCGGCTTCGTGATCTCATCCTTGCTGGAACGGCGGGACTGGCTCGAAGTCGGAGGGCAGTACTGCCGTGTCCTCGAGGTGTTGGATGCGATTCTGGTGTCCGGCCACATGATTGCTGAGAACCATGACTGCCTCCTGGATCTGGCGATTGTGATCCTTCAGCTCCAGAATCGTTTGGAACATTGTCTGCATTTCGGAGTGCATCTCCTGCATGCGCTTCTCGAGGATCTCGATCTTGAGCATTGAGTCCTGGTTCCCGGCTGGGTAGGGCGAGCCGCTTTGACTGGACATGGGTATCAAAGTCTCGCCGGGCTTCTTCACTGACTTGGGCTCGGCTGTCTTGGCTTGCTGACTGGCCACGAGCTCGTGACGCTCCAGATAGATCAGCAGGGCCAAAAACTTGGGGTTCTTTGGATGATGCTCTACGAGCCACCGCAGGTATGTGAAGTCCTCCTTCTTTTCCACGATGTCCACTAGCTTCACCCCGGAGTACTTCCCGTGCTTCTGCTCCATCTCTCCCAGCTGCTTGAGATCCATCTCGCGGTAGTTCTGAGTGAGGTTCTCGCTGGATTCCACTTCCGGATGCCGGTTCTTGTCCTGCTTGGTCTGCAGGGCGCTGAGGAGGGCAGAGGTGTTCAAGGACATTCTGCTTACCACGGAGTCGGCGGATGGGCTCTAACGTGCGGGAAAGTTCTTCTTGAGCCCGAACGAGTGAGCCATCAAGGTTTGGATCTTCATCAACAGCTTCATCAGCATCAGGTTCAACCAGCTGAGATTCACTAGTGATATCTCTATACTGTTGGCTCTGTCGAGCATTTTCAAGCATCGAACTTGGAGTTTCTTTGGATCCAAACAAGTGACTCAAATTTTGAACTTCATGTGTGACCACACGAAGTTGCTCTGGTGCACAGCGGTAGAGAGTGGTACCGTGAACAATCCAAACAACAGAACCAGCACTTTGATTCCTTTCGGGGTCGCCCGTTTTTTCAACACAAACAACTTTAGCGGGCCCAAACCAATAACTCTCATACCTATTCCCATGACCCCTACCCCGTCTGAAGAAGTAAACCAACTGCCCGGTTTCAAACTCTTGTGCACGACGAATGTTTGCGTGTGCGGCTCTTTGTATTCGAAGCTTGGCATCCTCCCTAAGGAAAATCATTCTAGCTTCGTTTTTACGTTTCATGTGATCCTCAAAAGACACCTGTTTAGACCTCTGTTGCTGAACGACAGGATGTTCTCCATTCTGCAAAAAGGACCCCACACGATCACAATTTTGTCCGAAAGCCCATTGATTTGGTGCAAAGCCACGAAACGTATGCAGCTCATTCTTTGCTGCCAAAGTGGCGTCAAACGTCTCTTCCACGTCGACATCAGCGGCCGTTTCAAGGGCCAAGAGACTTGCATTTTCTTTCACAGTCTCCAGGTGTTTCGAGTGCTTGCCAAGTTGCCAAGGCGCTTCTGCAGCGATGGCTTGCACTCGAATCCCCTGACCCTCCAGCCACTGAAAAAGGTCCAACTTGCGGAAAAAACTTTCACAGTCATACCGTATTCGTTTGGGTTTTGGTAAGCACCGCAACCAACACGACCGAAAACACGTTTTAAATTCTTCAGCAGTAATAGATTCTTGGGGTTTTTCACCTTGTCGAACTATTCCAACAACATGGTAGTTACTTCCCTCATCAAACAAACTGACTCCCACACAAAATCTTTGGGGTTTCCCTTGCTTTTTGTGAGGTGAAAACCACCAAAACGTGTCGACAGAAATAGTGTCCCATGGTTCAGTGACGGCCGGAACTGCTGCTGGTCGCAATGGTGCTCGCCGACCCCTTTGTCGGCACACGGTGCATTCCATTTGGTCGGCTAATTGCAGGACTTTTTGAGTGACCCCAGCTTCTTTCAACAATCTTCCCATCGTGGTTTTGTTGGGGTGCCCCAAATTAGCATGAATAACCCTGAGTTTCCTGATGATTTCTTGGTCTTCTTGAGATTTTTCTTCCCCCAAAATGGGATTTGGTGATTCTCTGGGAGGATCCTGGCCCTCAGCGTTCGGTGGTCTCTCTTCATCCTGCACAGATGCCTGACCTGCCTCATGAAAACACTCATCAAACGCATGTGTTTCCTGGCATGCATCTACTAACCCCAAGAAGGCTGATCGATCTTTCATCAATGCCTGGGCAAAGCGTTCACAGAGCTGTGATGGATATACTGCAGAAGCTGCGGTTCTGTGTCCTTCAATTGGTAAATGGTATCCTGGTGGGTGATTACAAGTCATTTGAAGAGCTTTACGTATCCCCAGAGACGAACTAAGCCACCCAAAAGATTTTTGAAGGGGTTGTCCCGTTTTCAAGTCTTTACAACCGTGCCGACACCCATCTACACGGAAGCGTCCCCCACATAACCTAGTGGCTTTCTTCAGACTGGGTTCTTTCCAAGACAAGGCTCTAAGTGGTTGTTCAAGTCCACCATCATGTTCTTCTTGGCTAACAGCATGATCGGCTGTTGCCCAGCCACCCTGAGATCCCAGCTCCATGATTTGAATCTCCAATAAGCGAGTGCAATGACGCAAAATGCGCCGTCCTGTTTGTCGCTTTGCCTCAAGTTCCCTGATTTGTTCAGAATTCCTTTGATTTGCATTTTGCATAATTGAGAAGGGAAAACACGGAGGACTGACATGAACGTAACGAGGACGCAATCGTTTCAACACATAAACAGCTTTCAGAAAACCAGCACGAGTACCCAAATCAAAACCATTATGTATCCCCATTCTGAAAACAGTACCACCATGATTTTCAACTGCAGAAGCGAGAGGGGAATCCCAAGGAGCACAAACTTCCAACAAGTCCAACTGGCGTCCATTAGCTAAGGAAGAAAAACACCGCATAGTTTCTCGTTCATTTTCAAAACGAATTCGATCAAACTTGTCATGCATATCGGCCAAAATTGGGCAGTCCACTTGCGACAGAACAGTGTTAGAGAGAGTGTTACCACCACAACACTCAAGGGAACTCACTGCTGGATCTGTCTGGGAAAATGGGACAGATCTCCCTACACTATCGCTATGCGGATCCGCATTCAAAATTTCTGGCCCACTCAAGACTGTGACCGATGGACAATCTTGGTGGAGATGTCCCTATTCCGACCCCTCACTCAGCGTGGTCTTCTCAGGAGGCGCACTCTGGAGCTTGAGGATAGAGACATCCTGATCATCATCAGTCACCAGCAGCTCGTTGATCAACTTTCCATTTCCTTCAAAAGCCGTGAGTGGCAAAAGAAGATGGAATGTAGGGGCTCGTTCGAGCTGCACCTGGTTGTCAGACAACTTGGGAAAAAGGGCCTTGCCCGTCTTGAAGTTGATAGTCGCCTCTTGCTCCCACAACCATTTGCTGGAGAGCAGGAAGGGTGTCGATCCTTCCACAACGTGCAGATCAACTGATTGTTCGGTGCCACACATACCAGTGTTGACCTTGGCAAGTCCAAGTGAGGAACTGGTTTCATTGTTGCCGAAGATGAAGCTCTTTTTCACTTGACGATCCACCGTGACTTCCGACTTTGGGTCAAAGCCAAGTTCATGAAGCGTGTCGCAGAAATCCTGCAACATGTTGGCTCCAACAATGGACTCGGAAGCCCCGCAGTCAATGATTGCTTTGTCACGGGTGGTTTCCTGCGTCGATCCAATGAACCCAGGACCCTCTGAGTTCTCAGCTCCTTTCTCACATGCCACTGCCACATGGATGGGATGGCTCTCTTGATACAGAAAGTCAAGGTCCTCTTCAAAGACCATTGCGCTCTCAGTATCCATGATCGTGTCCGCGTCATTCACAAGAGCCTGGTTGGCGTCCTGCAAGTAGCCCGCAAAACCAATCTTTCCAGCAGCTGGTTCACGACGAGAGTTTGAAGGAGCAGCCTTCTGCAGACAATCTCTGGCTTTGTGGCCATGTTTTCCGCACCGCATGCAAAGACCATCAAAAGGTGGTGGCTTCCTTGTGCGGGAGTTCATGGACGTGCTGCTTCGGGTGCTGTTGGGAAAGAATCCACGGGCTGTTCGGCTACGGTCCAGAGCCTTCCTGGCTTCCGTGTACTTCAACTTCTTCATCTCTTGGAAATTGGCAAGGACTACTGGGTTAGTAGGGTCTTCATGAAGGGCCTCGCATGCTTCATCAAACAAGACTGAGATCTCATCCTCAGTGAGATCCGGATCATCTTCATGATTCACTTCCTCACCGTCAAGATCTGGAGATCCTAACCAAATGCCATTGTCATCAGGCGTGTTGGGCTCATTCATCAAAACCTTGGCATTGTTCTTTGCCTTTTTGCGCTCCTGATCACGGAGAGCAAGGCTATCACCTCCCCATAGTTGACGCATGGCTCTACAGACTTCATCAAGCTGGTAGTTCTTGGCAAAAGACTTCACGGTGGCCACGTCGGAGGGCTCAAGGCGGACAAACTGGTGCAAAAGGAACCAACCCCAGATTTCACTTGGAGTATCACCTTTTGCGCCGACTGCGACCAGAGCTTTGTTGATGTCTCGGACTTTAGCCGCATGGCGAGCTTCGAAGTCATTCCGAACCTCACCATCTTTTCGCACTATCTCGCTCTTTTGGAAATAGACTCCAAGAGCATCTCCGAGGACATCAACCTTTTGGCGGCCTCGTTTCTCCTCCAAATAGGAAAGCAAATAGTTCACTCCATCTTCACTTTTCAATTTCTCTCTCTCAAGGCCAACCGCTGTCTCCCATGCCTTTCCGGTGAGGTTTCTCACCAACTTTGGAGCAAGTCTGCTGAGGTCGTCTTTGGAAGTGGCATCCGCTTCCAATTCTACCGACAACTTGTAGTCTGGCCATTGAAGCCAATCCCCACTCCATGTGGGCAACTTTGGGTTGATGGTTGCCTCAATTGCCATTGCGTCACACTGATGCTCTACTTTGAGCGTCACCTGATCTCACAGGCTCCGCTGCCAGTGTGGATTTTAGGTCCAACACTGGTCAACAGAAAGAGTTGATCTAAAGGAACCTAGTGCTAAATGGATCGCAAATGTCTGAGCACTGCGAAAGAGCACTGGCTGCTTTTCCGGATAGCACGCCGAGTAAAGGGTCTAAGCTCCAAGCTGACTTTGGGCCATGACACTGTTGTCAGGCAAATTGCTGTTGCTGATGCCACCAGGGATGCATGGAACTTCAAATTTGCACCCCCCAAGGGTAACTGATCATGAAAGAGCAGTGCGTGTAAGTGCTCTACAGCAAGAAAGATGATGAGGTTGCTGTGCGTGTGCAGCATAGGAACATGAACCTTATTAACTCACCCCACCCCACCGGTAACTGATCATGAAGATGATGAGGTTGCTGTGCCTGTGTGTGCATAGGAACATGAACGTTATCATCCCACCCCACCCCACCCCACCCCACCCCCCCCACCCTCCCCACCCCACCCCAGTGGAACATGAAAGAGAGAGGTTTATCTTGCCCGAAATGGCTAGTTCCCAGCATCAATGTGCGCGGATGACCGCTCTTTGTGCGCGGATGACGCGGTTTCGCTGTGCGCGGATGACTCGTTTGCAATGTGCGCAGATGACTCGCTTTCAATGTGCGCAGATGACGCGTTGACCGTTCCTCTTGGCTGACCAGTTCTTCTGCTGCCCCCAATGATAAGAGAGTACTTTTCATTGAATGCACCGTCATTGGGTAGATTTTTTTCCTGAGATTTCCACGGCAAAGTGGCCATGTCGAGCCATTGCAATGCTTCCGCATGGCGACTCTCTCGAGGAATCCGACTTTTGAGAAAACTGCCGCCGAAGAGTGCAGCAGTTAGGTAGCAGTGCACATGTCAGTTGAAGACTTTAAATATTTGGATGTTAACGCAACTCGCTTGATGGGTCAGCATGGACAAAGTTTTGTCAGACTCTGCAATGCCTGGGACTTACACTGGCGTGCCTTTCAGAGCCTTAGCTAGCAGATGACGATAGCCTTGGCGACGCTCAGACTGCTCTGCGGGACCTCAGATCCCCATTAAAGCCATTCGTTGGATGTCAACAAATGCGAATATCAACTCTTTAGCACTAGCCTGATTTCCATTAATCTCATGGAGCTGGCAAAGGGCGCGAACTTGCTAACTTGGGAACCGCTGACAGTTTGGCATTTTTTTTGGTCCGAGCCCGTTGCCTTTCGGCGGGTCTACTGTCTTGAGTCTTACTCGCGGACCAGCGGGGAATCGAACCACCACCGGCAGTCTGTCAGCGACACAAGAGTGCCGCGATACCAACTGCACCACGAGGACGACTAACCGCTGACAGTCTGGCAGATCTCGGATCCAGACTTCTCTCAAGGGAATGCTTGTCCAAGTCCATGGAACGTCCACTAAGGATAAGCAGCAGTGAGGTCCATACCGCCAACCATGGTAGCATCACTAGGGCTCAAAAGTAATGGAAAATATGGTCCTAGAAAACAATTGTGACCTGTAACCAGGTGGAAAAAACCTGATAGCAACTCTGACTTGTTGAAAAGATCCCACTGAAGCAAGACGCCCAAACAACCGGTCTTTCTCAGCATCGCAAGATTGTGTCTCTGCGTCCAACTGAATCAAATCACAACGCTTTCACAGAGCTCGACCATATGTCACTTCTTGTCATCTCCCTGAACCAGCGTCGTCCAGAAAAGAGGTCCTGACAAACTAGGTTTGAAACTTCTCTGAGAAATGTCTACCCACGCTACGACTACGATTATCAAGTTCCCATTCACAAAAACTCACACAAACGCATGAAAAAACGTGGAAACATTTCAAACACCAGCGTTCTCATCCAAAAACGTGTTGTCTTCGGATTTCCAAATAAAACTCTGCAAACGTAACGTTCTCTTTAATGATGTCTCCCTCAGATTTTGGCAACTCAAGTTTTTATTTGGTTTTTACAACTCATATCTTTCGCGCAGCCTGGCTGAGTTTGTCTTTGGCATTTCTTCTGCTTGGTGGGGTGTTATCTCCATCTCATCCTCCGGGAAAATTTCAGTTCCACGGATACTGTCCGTCGCACAAGTGAGAAATTTGGCGACTTCTCCATCTTTACTGCAGAAAAAGAAGCTTTTCCGTGCCTGCATTGCTTCTTGTTGTTTTTCTTGTGATGTTTATTTTATTTGAACATTCGCGCGCTGCGCAGTTGGTGTTAGAGGCACAACTTGCAGTTGGCGTATCTCCTTTGCGGTCCATGGGGAGTCCAGCAGGTGTTCAACATGTGTAACGTAACAACATGATGCAGCAACCATGGGCATCCTTTCATCCCTAAAGAATTTTTTGGAGGAAGTCATGGCCCCAAGTTACTTTTGACTTTGGTACCAAAATTTTGCAAGGAGATTGTTTCTAAAAATCTCAGACGGAGTGTGAAAAATCATCCTGTGTATAGCTAGCGTAGCGATCTTGTGCTTGAACTTAGGTAGTTGTTAGGTATTTTTGTAGTTGTAGTTTGTGGACTTGAGTAGTTGGACTTCGTTTTGTAGTCAGCAGGTGATTGTGATGTAGCTAGTTAATCTCATCTCAATACGTCACAAAGAGTTGGGACGTAGTTGCCATTTTTCGTTTGGATTTGCACGTTTTGGGTTATTCCACACGAGAACAACTTGCACGAAACCAGTCGGAGAGTTTTTAGGAACCGAGAAACCGGTTTTGCACGTTTCTAGATTGGTAGAGTCGTTTTTGCATGACTAGATTTGTAGAGTTTTTGGAATTTCCTTAACTGGACTAGACTCCAGTTTGCTTTACCCACAGAAACTCACTGACTTAGTTTCTGTGTTCTGAACTGTGTTGACCAACGTGAACGTTGGCCCAAGCCTGCGAGAGCGAAAAGTGTGTGAGTGTGTCGCCGTGAGATGGCCTGGGAGAGTCGAGACTGCAGAAACGCGAAAGGATCACCGTTTGTTTGTGTTTTGGTTTGGGTTTACTTTGAGCACGAGAGGTTTGAAAGCGGTTTTCGCGATCTAACTTTGTGTGTCAAAGTTTTACGTGGTAGCGGAGCTTGTTTCTTGTCGGTTCAGAAAGCAACGTTAGGCAGAGGCAGCCGCAGGCCTAAAGACCCCGTCCGGCCTTCACTCTCATGGATGAAGCCTCCCAGGCACGACAGCCGCGGTAGTGACCGGGCCAAAGCTACCGCCTTTTCCACCAAAGGGGGTGGCAGCAGCCGCCTCCGTTGCCGCCACCGACAACCTGCCTAACCCACCAACGAGGCCACCACCCGATACCCCCAAGACGCCTCCAAAGGCCCCACCAAAGACACCACCGGCAAAGGCGCCAACCAAGACGCCACCGCCACCCCAGGCGCCATCCAAGACGCCACCGCCACCTCAGGCACCACCACCAAAGCATCCAGCTGTCCCCAAGACACTGCCCAAGACGCCCCAAAAGGCGAAAGCTGCAGAGCCCTCATCGCCAAAGGCGAGTCCAGGAGCAAAGCCAATATCGGTCGTGAGCGCTGATTGGGTGACTCCCAAAGAAGAGCCACCACAGGGTCGGAACAGATGGGCAGTTGGAAGCTGTGAGCGTTGCGCCGTCCACGGGGTACAGCATGTCGATGATATCAAGAAGTGGAGGAGCCAATGCTATGGCCAACACTGCCGAGGCAGTGGATGCGACCCATGAGACCTCTGAGGCAGCCGCGTCATCAGGGCGCCCGCGTCGACTTCAGACGTGCATTGCTTGCCATGGCTCCGGTGAGTTGCCAATGAGGGCCAACAGGAGATTATATCGTCTCCTCACCAGTGCTTCGGTTACAGCCACTGCCGGAGCGGCACAGCGTCCCATGGCCAGTGATGCAGAAGCTGACGATGACCAGATCAGTCTCTGATCGTGAGCTTGGAGAGGTACTGGACCCATCCAAAGCTGCAAGCATTCGTTCAGGTGATCGAAGGCGTCGAAGCTATTGCCAGATTTTATCGCTTGATCTTCCCCCGTGAAAAAGGGGAGTCTGCTGCGTTTTGACTGGACTTGTGATGTGAAGTCATATGGACTTGTGAAGCCATTGAATACTTGGATAGACTTGTGAAGTCGTCTGGATAGAGAATGCTGGATATATGTTTAAAACATAAGGCAGAAGTTCTCTTTGATCGTTGCCCTGTGTGTTGCTCGGGTAGTCGGATCTAATTATCGAGACTTTGAGGTCTGACGATTGCATCAGTTAATTCTAGTTCCAGTTTGAACTGCAAGAGTGCAAAAGTATCCAAGAGACATCGAGAGGATGATCTTTGGACTTTTGGATTTTCTCTGGATTTTTGGACTTTCCCTGATGGACTGTCTTTGGAATGTTTGTGGACTGCTTGGAATGGATTTCAATGTGAATTGAATGGATTTCCGCAGCCATTTGTGTGTGTGGGCAGGTCGCGCAAGCCATGGCCGCCTGAGAGATGGAAGAGCTCTACTGGCTCTTATTGCTCGTATATATCTGGGTATTTTAACTGGTATTCTTTAGGCATTCTGCACTTTGAAGTTTTGCAAAGGCCGCAATACAACTGCAAACAAGCATCATTGGGCTTGCCCAATGTGTCTATGCGAAACCCTGCGTTGGTCGGGTGGTGGTGGGGTTGTGGATGGTCTCTTGCCAATTTGGAAGTTCCTCACCTGGAAGTTCTTTGTGAGTTGATCTTCTAAACTTCTTCTTCCTGTTTCAGTTGCTCGATGGCCTCAACGATTTCAATTTGTATTGACTGCTTTATTTCGTTCCACTACTTCAGTGGGGATTCAATTTCACTGGCTGCTGTGATTTCGAGTTTTCATTTTCTTCGTGGACAGTTTCGTTTTCTGTGATGCTGTTGTTTGTATTTCAGACTTCAAGTTGCTCATCGCTTTGTTTTCCAATCAACTGCAACGCTGTCAGAGTCCATTCGATGTTCACTTGCGGATTTACAATTGCCTTGTCATGTCAATTTC